ACGCCCGGAGGGCCGCGCGGGGCGGTCGGCCTCGGGGGTGGCCAAGAGGGGGGGCGTCCAACCAAGACGGGGGGGCGCAAATCATGGCCGGCGGCATGCGCGCGGCCTAGGTGGGGGCGGAATGAAATGAGAGGATGCGGCACCACGAGATCTGGGGAGATATCGTGCCCCCCGCCATGATCTCCCCCCCCCCCCTCGTCACCTCGTCATCACCCCTCCCTCGTGGCCGCCCCCGAGCCTCGGGGGCGACCCCGGCCCCGCGCTCGAGGCCGCCCGCGCCCTCCGTGACGAGGGCCCGCACGACGAGGGCCCCTGCAGTGCAGAGGCGGCCCAAGAGGGCCCCACGAGGGGTTTCAAGACGGGGAGCACGGACCAACATTTTTGGGCCTCCGCCCCACGCTGACCCTCAAGACCGTCAGCAGGCCCCCAGGAAGCCTCCCAAGAGGCCAAGAGGGCCCCAAGAGGACCCGAGAGGTTACAGAGAGGACAAAGAGCCCAGCCAAGAGGCCTCAGAGAGGCACCCCGATAGACCCTTGACCCTCAGATGCATTCAAGAGGCCTTTGATTCACCACGCAGGCACAGTGGAGATAGGAGTCGGAGGCCACCCGATAGTGAGCGTTTCTTATTCGGCGGTTTCGACATTGGGCGGAAGGGTGGGGGGATGGGGAAAGGGGAGGGGGTTTGGCTCCGGACCGCTGCTCAAGACGACTGTTTGCAGCAGTGCGTCCTATGGGGAGAGGAACCCCACCTGGCGGAAACAGGAGCCAAAAAAAGCTAAGATCTACTCCATGGGGGGAGGGGGGGGGCGAGGGCCCGCGCCGATCAGCAAAAATTATGAATAAGAAAACGATCACATAGAGGGTGAAGGGTGCTCTGCTTCTGCTCCAGTCTCGAGGTGTTCTTCAAGTCCTTCTGGGAAACTCGTTGGCTTTTGAATTCAAAAAACTGGTGCTTTAATTGAAACTGGCTTTTAACTTCAGGAAAAAAACAACTTTTGAATTAAAAAAAACGGTTTTAGAATTCAAAAACCGGTTTTGAATTTGAACAACAACCTTCGAATTCACAAAACCGTGTTTAAATTCAAAAACAAGTTTTTGCTGAATCCGAAAACATGGCTTCGTGCGCTCCTCGGCTCCCTCGCGGCCTTCCCAGGGCCTCCTGAGCCCCCTGCAGGGTCGGCGGAACTGGCCGTAAGGCCTCTCCAATAGATGCTGGCGTGTCGAACTGTGCGCACCGACTCCTTCTCAACCAAGCAGGGACGCGTGTGTGCAGACATCGGCGGCGAGCGAGGGGGGAGGGAGAAGGAGGAGGCCTTCTCAGAAGGCGGTGGGGCTTCTGAGAAGCCCTCGCGCCTTCTGAGAATGGTTTTTGTCATCGGGCAAAACTTCGAAGACTTCTCGGACGGCTGGAGAACTTCCGAGCTTTCCAAGAAGGCCCGCGAAGATATGCACGGCGTTCCTGCCGTGTCGACTTAGACGTTGAGTTGAGCGATCTCCGCATTACGACACGCCAGATCGCTCAAGAGTAGCCTCGTTGGCGCAGCTCGAGGCCTGTAGTCTTGAGCGCCCGCGCTGGCGTCGCCGCCGAGCCGACGCGGAGCGAATCTGCAGCGCACACGGGCACACATCAAGCATCAAGCATGCCATCGCAACGACACCATCAATGCCGCATCGCCTGTTCTGGCCGTACTCGCGGAAGCCCGGGGGCGGCGCCGGCTGATCCTGGTGCGCGCGGAGTCGTAACAAGGCTCTGTTGGAGAGAGGGCAGAAACCTCATCGCTAGATGTGGGTCAAAGCACCAAATGAGCGGCCAAAATGACTGGGACGTGAGAGGACACGGCGGTCACTCGGTGGCGTGCGCATGACGGCAACGCGGCACCGCAATTGGATAGCAGACCGCCTGCGCGCGACCGCACGCAGAAACATTACACAGGAATGCCCGCGCAATCGACCCCATGTTTTAGTCACCCAAGCTATCCCGGCTAAGCAACCTGACAACGAGATGACCGGCACGTCCACCAGCACGTCCTCAGGCACAGCCCTCACATGTCCCGTGGCACGTCCATTGATGGGAGCCGCAAATACATACACAAAGGTATGCGTGCCCTCGCCCGAACTTAGTGTACAAATGTAGTGTAAGGTCTCACGCGTGTGATCGAATCCCACAGGATATCCACTAGACTGTGCGCGGTGGCAGTGCCGAACATAAATAACAACATGGAGATACACTCTCGGAGGTTCGCGCCGATTTCTTGGATCGCGGAGCGCGCCAGGGGCGGCGCCAGAGGCGCCACCAAGGGAGTCCACCGCCGATCCAAGAACTCCGCGCGGAGCGCCAAACGCTTCCGTATGGGTGCCACTGGTTAGTTTTCAAGATCGTGCCTCTGTCACCGACCTGACGCGTCCATGGGCACATGTCCTAAGTGTTTCCTCCTGGTCACATCCCCATTCGCATCGTTTAACAGATCCTCATCCCCACCAGCGTGGGCTGGGCTGGGCCCCACTGGTCGATTTACCCCCCCTATCAGGGGATATAGGCTGCTCTCTTCGGTTTTCGAGGGGCATATCACCAACTGAGGTGGTGAGACGGTGGGGCTCGAGATGTGGGTGGGGATGGGGATAGGGATCGGTTAAGCGATACTGACCCCAGACGCGCCCCCTGGACACGTCCTGTGGACACGGCCCCAGGAACGTCCCCGTGCAGCCCCAGGACCCCCCCAAAAAACCAAAAACACGTACACGGACCCCGTGCGCCCGTGATCCTCGGGCCCCACGGAATGCACGGGCTCCCGGTGGCCGTGAGCCGAGGGCACCATAAGCCGACGGGCTCCCTTCGTGGCTAAACTTCGGGAGCGACGAAACACATGGGCTCGTTCCGTCTGGGAGCCTGGGGACCCCAACGAATACTCGACAAGGAGATCCACATATGCGAATCCTATTTCCTGGCACGTCACGCTGTGTGTGTGGCCGTGTCTGGGTGTAGAGAGCGAGTCCAAGTGGACAACGGGTACGACGACAAGTATAACGACGACGACGGCTATGATGAGGGACGGCGACGACGACAACTCTCAGATAGACCAGCGGTGAGCAGGCCCCCTCCCCTCTCCTTCCTCTTACTACTCGTCGTACACCCTCCCGTCTCGTCCTCGCTCATTCCTGCTCCCTCTTCCTGCGGCCTCCTCTTTCTCCTCCGTCCTCCCTCCTCCGTCGCGGCGGCCGTTCTTATCCCTGCATCGAAATGATCATGGGGCTATGGATTAATCAAGGACAGCGCTTCGCTCGATACATTACCACGATCTGGCCGCCTGGGGTGCTGAAACCAGCGCCTCGCTTGAGACACCTTCACACTCTGTTCTGAAGACACCAGCATCCAAGCCACCAACCAAACAAACAGCCTGAGACATCCGCGCACTCTGGGCGCGAACTCGCAAATGTCCCCACCCCTGGCGGCTCCTCCTTGGGGTGCCGAAGCCAGTGCCTCACACTACAATCGGCTCTACTAAAGTACCGACGCCAAAGCCAAAGACACCAAACAGGCAAACTGCCCGATACACCCCTGCAATGGTGCGAAATGGTGAGTGCCCCCCTCCCACCCTGGAGGCAAGCAGGGTGTTTCTTGGCATGGGCCTTCACTGTATCACACGATGCTCTGAACGCACCGGAGTCCAAGCCGCCAAACAAGCAAACTGCCTGAACCATCACCACAATCTGGACGCGGCTGGGCAATGGTCCCCACCCGTGGCGGCTCCTTGGTTGGGTGCTCAGACGCCACGCCTGCTACAGTGCGATGAGCTCGGGAGCGGCCAAGAGGGGGGTGTCCAAGAGGGGGGGGTGCAAATCATAACCGGCGGCATGTGCGCGGCCCAGCGGGGGGACCAGGGACGTAATGAAACAAGGAGAGGCGCCATGAAATCTGGGGAAATATCATGGCCCCCGCCATGATATCCACCCCCCCTGGTCATCACCCCCCTCTGTGCCGCCCCCGATGAGCATGGGACTCTGAACAGAAAGGTCAAATCAGCCAAACAGGCAACCGCCTGAGAAACCCCCAAAATCCCGGCACGAACGAGCAGGTGTCCCAACCCCTAACGGCTCCATCGTGAAGTGCTCAGACACCGCGCCCGTCGCATCTCGACATGTGGCTCTGAAAACAGATCAGCCCAATCAACAAAACATGCACAACGCCCGAGGCATCCTCACACTCTGGACATGAACGGGCAACTACCCCCAGCCCTGGCGACTCTTTCCTGGGGTGCTGAAATGCCACGCATACTACATCCGAATGTCAGTAAATCTGACCATCAGTGAATCCGAGTGTGAGTGAGTCTGAGCATGAGTGTTTCTGAATATGAGCGATCTAAGTGTGATGGGACTGATGTTGTGTATCTGAGTGTGGGTAGGTCTGAGTGTGAGAAGTCTGAGTGTGATGGGAGAGACATAGAGTGAGAGAGAGAGAGAGGAAGCGCGAGTGAGGATGAGTGGAGGCGTCCCAATAATAACGATAACCACATGCCAACGAACTGGGGTAGCACGGGGTCCTAAACACACGGATCCCTTTCGTCTGTAAGCCTCAGGGCACCTCGAGACCCCAAAGGAACACAAGGGGGCTCGTGGTCCCTGGGCCTCGGGACCAGCAGGCACAGGGCAGCCTTTCGTCCGCACGCCTCGGCATGCACAGCAGCAAAAGGCATACTGAGTTCCTGGTGGGGCCCGACCACATGAAACCTTCCACGAGCACCCCAACCCTGAGACCCGAGGACGCCAATGGATTTCTGGTCTGGGAACGTCGCGCTGTCCATCGCAAAACCATCACCCAAGAAACCCAGGGCACCCTGGAAGCAAGCAGCATGTTTCTTGGCCTGGGTCTCCATTGTCCTTCAACACACAATGACCCTCAACCGTGGCGCCATGGCACCACATCGACACACGATCTTCGTTTCCCGAGGGGCACCGCCAGGAACACAATGGAGACACACTTGTCCCTGCTCCCCCTATCATAAAAAGAACGAATACACCCCCATACATAATAACCACCCCGACACGCGAAGTTGTATAGTAAACGCGCCCAAAGGGGGAATCGAACAGGGCAGGGCTGTTTAGTAAACGCCCAAGGCCGTTTAGTAATTGCCAATTGACGGGTCCGTATTGTTTTTCCTCGGTTGATTCTATCATGCACACAAGTGCTTCAAACCGAATCCGCGCTCACACGCATCAACGTCCCCATCAATAGCCGTGCCCACACTGGCACACACACACTCATGCCTAGGCTCGCGCCTTGCAGATCTGAACACGCATACCTCCTCACATTGCACACGTACATGCACACATACCTCCGCCCATCACCCGCCAGATCCTGGAAGAGAAAGCGACGAGTGAGGACGGCTGGGCACACGGGTGGGAGTGTACAGGAGGACACCTCGAGCGCATGTAACCAGCCTGAAAATGCGCTTATGCTTATGATTGGCATCTCCCTACCTCGGTGCCGATCTTGATGACTCCCCCATCTTCCGTTTGTTTTTTGGGAGGGGGTAAATTCAAGACTGGCGAGCATGGACCAGTGCTGCCGGTCAAATAGCTTCTGGCCCACAAGCCAGTTACGGTGGCGGGATGAGCCGAAGGCTAATGGACTGCCAACAAAAGCTTCAATCAGGCTTAAACTAATGGCGAAACGTTGACTCCTTACCTCCTCTGGGATTAGCGGGATACGACGCTTGAACAAGTTCGAGGCTGGTGAGCATGCCGCCGCTTTCGTTTCAGCAGCGTCCAAACAGGCCCAAGGAGGAAGAGGGGGAGGGGGGGGAAGGAGGAGGAGGAGGCGGGGGAGGAGGAGGAGGAGGAGAAGGAGGAGGAGGACAAGGAAGATGAGGAAGAAGAAGAGGACAAAGAAATGACAAACAAGAGGAGAAAAAGAAAACGGAAAAAGAGACACGTATTTCGCAGTGCAGCTCAGCCGTGGGGGGTACCACGATGCACGCCCACTGAAGGGAGACAACTGCTCCTTGGATCCCGATTGTTGCAAACTATGCCCGACACCGCGTATGTCTGTGCTGCTCAAGGTAGGTGGTTCGGTGTTGAACACCCGCGAAAGCATGATCTCACACACCTGGCCCCTGTATGGGGGCTGCCGGAGGTTAGGGTTCTCTCAAGTATAGTGGGACATGCGCCGTACAAATCTGTTTGTAAATGTAGCTGTGATCAGTACGGGTGTGGTGCACAATATCGAAAGCCGACGACCTCATTTTAAAGGAATGCTGCCTCTGTATCTGATCGAATCCGCATGTTACCAAACAGCGGCAAGTGCCGTCACCACCTGCAGGGATTTCAAAGTAATTGGCAGTTCAGGACATCAGCTGCTAAGCAGTACGCGGCAGGGATGTGCAAGATGCTGGCGAATGCGATGGCGACTGAAGTGTGTCCGTTACAGCTTGACAGTGTCGCAGGCTTTCCTGAACTCTCAGATTCCATGGTTCTTTTCTGGATGCCGTTGGACCCGTTGCTCGAACAGCATCAGTGGGACAACTTTGCCCCTGATGCTGTGAGGCCAGTTGCCGCTCAGGGAGGTGGCGGAAGTGGCCAAGGCATGCGCCGTCATCCCTGGGCCAAGAAGGTCCCACTGCGTTGCATGCTCTATCAGCGCGACCCTTCGTCTTCATCGGCGGTTTAACAAATAATCAAAACAAATGACGAGGGGAAGCAGGAGGAGAGGGGAGGAGGAGGAAGAGAACCAGGAGGAGGGGGGAGCCTCCTGGATAAGTTCGAGGCCTGGCGAGCTTGAGAAACGAATGTGGTAATGTGCGCTGAAGGGCTGCATGTGGCAGCACTGGCCACCCGTCGCTTGCGAGCGAGGCGACAGGCCCCAAGAGGCGCCCAGGAAGCCCCGAAGAGGCACCCGAGAGGCCCACGAGAGCCCCAACAGCACTCCCGAAACAGCCCCGAGAAGCCCCCAAGAGGCCCCCAAGAGGCCCAAGAGAGCCCCCAAAAGCACTCCCGAGACAACCCCAAGAGGATCAAATCACTGATTGTCCTACAACTCTTGAATGTTGTTCGTCTTCGCCGTCGTCGTCGTCGCCGTCCCCGGTTCAAGATCGGCGGCACTAACCGTAAGGCCCTCGCTGTATCCTTTGTGCACTCAATTGCTGCGGCTGGCAGCGCCGGCGGCCCGCCGCTTGCGAGCGGGGCGACGCAGCAGCGAATTACTGCCACACGCTCGTCGGCATGGATATTGACTCGAGATGAGCGAACGCCCGAGCAACGAAGAGAAACGGGTCTTGCGCAAATTGGCATAGCAATCTTACGAGGTAGCTTATGCCGGCCGCCAGCGCGGCACGCCACAGTGGGAACCAGGACGCTTACGCGCGACCATACACGGGCAACTTACGCGCAGATGTCGGCGCAGTCGAACCCGTTTTTCTGCGACCCTCATGTCGGCGGAGCGCCCAGGGGGAAGCCAGCGGGGGCGGGCCTTCTCAGAAGGCTCGGAAGGCCTCCCGCCTCCTGAGGCGTGTTCTGAGCCCTTTCCGAAGATATTGCCCGCTTCACAAGAAGGCCAGAGGGCTTCTTGAGAAGCATGGCCGTCTTCTGAAAAAAGCCTGCCCCTCTCTCGGGCACACGCCACAGTCGGACCTGCGGCATAAGAACAACCTTCAAGAATACGAGGCCCTCCGACAGCCAAAACACACAGAACAGCCAAGGGTACCCTCCCCATGATGCACCAGAACATCCAACAAGCACGAAGAACGTTAGGGTACCCTCCCCGAACCCCCAATCTCATACCTCGGTGCGACTGTGACGTGGATCATCGGGGAGACGTGAGACTCGGGCTCGGGTGACCCGGGTTGGTCTAACGGGGCTGCCAGGCAAATGACGAGACCCAGTCTGAAATTTGACGCGAGCTCCCGCTGCAGACCTCCCACGAAAACCGGGCCGACAAGATGGAGGAGGAGGAGGAGGAGGAGGAGGAGGAGGAGGAGGAGGAGGAGGAGGGAGGGAGGAGGGAGGAGGGAGGAGGGAGGAGGGAGGAGGGAGGAGGGAGCAAGCCCGAGTGCTGGCGACCTCGAGCCCTACGGCTCCCCAGGAGCGGGGATCCGGGAGACGGGTGCGACAGAGGCGGCTCCACGAATCGGGGAGAAGGACCCCCCCCGAAGCGTGAAGCCAATGTCGAGCGACGTGGCGACGGAGCGCGCCGAGTCTGCAGGGAGGCGGGACCTGCTGCCGATCCACGCGCCTCACATCCATGTTTGCGGTGCCTCGGCTCTCCGAGCAGGGGATCGTCTGCAGAGCCGATCTAAGCCCAGAATCAATGTTGGGGTAAACCAACAGACCGTTTTTTTGAATCGGCGATAATCCGGGTTATCCCGGGGGGGGGGAGGGGGCCGGCCGGTAAGCCCGCGCCCCCCCTCCCGCGGACCTGCACAACCGGCAAGGTTCGGTTGTCCTGGGGGGGGGGGGGCAAGCCCGATCACCCGGGTACTCGAACGCTCGCTTCCCCCCCGGCAGCGCCGCCGAACCTGGAGATGAGCCGCGCGGCGAAACTCCGGGAGGCGGCGCCCTCGACCGGCGCCCGAGCTCCCGCCAGGCGCCGACATCGGGAAGACGGAAGATCGGGTTGGCCTGACAGGGGGGTTAAAAATTAGCCTGACGAGAGACCCAACCATACGTAGTTGTGAATACCGCAATTGTGGATATATTCCTCGGTGGCGCTCCCTATGGGGCCACGAAACGTGTGAGGGGTGGGCGAGAATGGGGGGTGGAACCGCATGCGAGCGCAGCCACTGGGGCCTTCGGTGGAGCTCCCTATGGAGCCACGAAACGTGTGAGGGGTGTGCCAGAATGAGGGGTGGAACCGCATGCGAGCGCAGCCACTGGGGCCTTCGGTGGAGCTCCCTATGGGGCCACGAAACGTGTGAGGGGTGTGCCAGAATTGGGGGTGGAACCGCATGCGAGCGCAGCCACTGGGGCCTTCGGTGGAGCTCCCTATGGAGCCACGAAGCGTGTGAGGGGTGTGCCGAAATGTGGGGTGGAACCGCATGCGAGCGCAGCCACTGGGGCGTTCGGTGGAGCTCCCTGTGGGGCCACGAAACGTGTGAGGGGTGTGCCGAAAAGGGGGGTGGAACCGCATGCGAGCGCAGACGCTGGGGCCTTCGGTGGAGCTCTCTATGTGGCCACGAAACGTGTGAGGGGTGTGCCGAAATGGGAGGGGGTGGGGGTGGAACCGCATGCGAGCGCAGCCACTGGGGCGTTCGGTGGAGCTCCCTATGGGGCCACGAAACGAGTGAGGGGTGTGCGAGAATGGGGGGCGGAACCGCATGCGAGCGCAGCCACTGGGGCCTTCGGTGGAGCTCCCTATATGTGAGGGGTGTGCCGACCGCACAGCCACTGGGGCTGGTGGAGGGGTGTGTGAGGGGTGTGCCGAAAAGGGGGGTGGAACCGCATGCGAGCGCAGCGGGGGCCTTCGGTGGAGCTCCTATGTGGCCACGAAACGTGTGAGGGGTGTGCCGAAATGGGGGGGGTGGGGGTGGAACCGCATGCGAGCGCAGCCACTGGGGCGTTCGGTGGAGCTCCCTATGGGGCCACGAAACGAGTGAGGGGTGTGCGAGAATGGGGGTGGAACCGCATGCGAGCGCAGCCACTGGGGCCTTCGGTGGAGCTCCCTATGGGGCCACGAAACGTATGAGGGGTGTGCCGAAATGGGGGGTGGAACCGCATGCGAGCGCAGCCACTGGGGCGTTCGGTGGAGCTCCCTGTGGGGCCACGAAACGTGTGAGGGATGTGCCGAAAAGGGGGGTGGAACCGCATGCGAGCGCAGCCACTGGGGCCTTCGGTGGAGCTCCCTTTGGGGCCACGAAACGTGTGAGGGGTGTGCCGAAATGGGTGCAGGGGACGCATACTGATGATGATGATGAGGTCTGAGATCCCCTGGTGGCCAGACGATTCTTTACAGCGAAGCTGTGCGAATAGATTCTTTTGTGTGCAAGCTCGAGCTTCGAAACACGGAGCGGCTCTCGGACCGCTTCACAACGACCCTGAAGGATTAATTACAGCGCAGGGTGGCACGAGGGCGGGTGCGCTTGAATTGTTGCGGAGCAAGAACGGCCACGGAACGGATCAGCACCAGACCAGGACGATACAAACATCTGGCTAGGTCTGAGATCCCCTGGTGGCCAGACGATTCTTTACAGCGAAGCTGTGCGAATAGATTCTGTTGCGTGCAAGCTCGAGCTTCGAAACACGGAGCGGCTCTCGGACCGCTTCACAACGACCCTGCTGTGCCCTACCTGGCATCTGGCCGCTTTATGCCTAAAAAGAGTCTGTTGAAGAAACCTTCTGAAAGCCTCGAGGCTCCAGAGGAGATCCAAGAGCACACCCAAGACGCGCACGGACGAGACAAGTGAATAAAAGGCGAGGGGGTGGGCGGGGTCGCATGAGCGTGGACGCACGGACCGCCGACTTCGTCGGGGAACCCACAAGAAAACCCCAGAGCCCACATGTTGTCGTGGTTAGCTCGTTGGCAGCCAAACGTGCACGGGGAGATCCTCGCGTGCCTCCCGTCACAAATGGTGAGCAGCTGTCTAAAGAGGACGGAGTGCGCGGAAGCGCTTGCTGATGGAAAAATAGCAATGCAAGGACACTTTACAGTGAGGCATTTGTGAAGAAGACGGGCTAGAATATTGCTAGCTTCAGTCTCGCCGAACCTGGGCCAAATCAGAACGACTCCCCGAACGCGGCGAGACGAGATCCATCCCACGAGGCGGCGATATACGATGGCGGTAGCCAGCAGGGAGCCGTTTATCCACGCGCTGCAGCCCGAGATGCGGGCGTCCTCGGCCCGCGCGATCTCGCCCGTCCCGAAGCCGACTTCGAGGAAGGTCTGGCCAGCGGCAGCGCGGCACGCGCGGGCAAGGTCTTGCAAGGCCTGCCCGACGCCAGCGCCTCCGCCTTGAGGAAGCGAGGGCGCCGCGGTCGCCGCTGCTGGCCGAGGATCTGGCCGATGCTGTCCTCGACCTCCTGGGCCCACTCCGAGACCTCGACGTCGACCTTCTCGAGCTCCGCGAGGTAGCGCACGTGCCGCGAATACCGAGCCGTGCTCTGCGCGCTCGTGCGGCGTAGACGCGCTTGCAGCTCGGCCAGGGGCATGCCCTCCATCGCCGTGGCGTGCGACGCCGCGGAGTGCCGCAGCTGGCACGGGATCATGTCGGGCGCACCCGGGACCAGCGACAGCCGACGTCGGAACTCGGCGCCGAAGGTCGCTGCGGTGAACGACCACAGGGGCAACCCAGCGGGCCGCGCCGCGCGGAGCAGCTTCAGGAAGCTCCCGCCGCCGCCACGCCAGGCCGCGCTCCGCAGCAGCACGCCCTCGTCCTGCGCGAGCGACTTGCTGCAGGCCGACCCCTCGATCGGGCACAGCAACAGCGCCCAGCGGGGCTCCGCGCCGCGGCCTGGGCCCACCAGCGTGTCGACCGTCATGCCGACGAGGTCGCTCGGGAGGCGGATCATCGCGTCCCACGCGAGCGCGACCGCCCCCGCCCACTCGAAGTCCCCCTCGAGCGCGGCGATCCCGATCATCGCCCACACGATCGGCTTCCCGACGGGCGTCATCGGAGTGCTCCTCGAGTGCACTCGAAAGCCAGAGAGCGCGGCCCGCGCCAGCGGAAGGCCGCCGTGCTTCGGCCGCGGCACGCACGGCAGCCTGTATTGCACGGACGCCAGCAGCCGCGAGCCCGTCTCCGCCAGCTCCCCGTCCCAGAACAGCTTGTCCAAGTAGGCCGCCAGGAGGGCGTCCAGGCGGTCCGCCGTGATGTCGTCCAGCGACGGCACGGCGGCCCAGGCCAGGAAGCTGGTCACGTGGTTGTCGAAGCTGCGGATGGTGGCCTCCCGCACCTTGTGCCTCTGCAAGAAGGTCAGCCCATGCCGAGGGTCGTAGTTGGCTCCGCCGAACTTCGCAGCTCTGAGCTTCGCCCGATTGGCCTTCTGGCGTGCCAACTCGACGCGACCCGCCGCCTTCGACCGAGCTGGAGGCAGAGCTCCAGGCTTCGCGCTCGGAGGGGGTGTCTTGGTCTTCCCCGCCTTCAGAGGAGCGCGAGCTCGCTGCGGTCGTGGTGGCGGCGGCGGCCTCCTCCTCGGGGTCGCATAAGTCGTGTCGCCGACGGCGGAGCAGGCCGATCGGATCGTCGTAGTGGAGGCGCCGAGCCTTCTCGTCAGCGGCCGCCCGAGCGAGGCTAGCCCAGGCCGTGCCAACATTCCGCGGGTCGGCTGCAAAGGGAGTCGGCTGGCCCGTCACGGTGCGTGAGCCTTTGTCTGAAGTGTTCCACTCTGAAGGTAGCCATCTCACGGCTACGGACATATCGTGAATAATGCTGTAGCTGCACAACTCTCTGCAGGTCTGATTGATCAAAGGGGATGCGGAACGACCTTTTTCCACTCCCAGTACCAAAGAAAGGTTATCATTAAGCATGAGGTGAAGATGACCCCGAGACCGCAAGGCCCGCATCTTGTGGCGCACGCCGAGCGCGAGGGCACGCCCCTCGAGCCTCAGGATGTTCTCCTCGCGGCACCAGCGGCCGAAGGTCACGTTCCGCCAGGCCTCCATCGGGAAGACGACGTCCGAGTCCACCGTGGCGAAAGACACCCCGTCGGACGGAGCCCCCGAGGTGTCGCGGGCGGCGAAGGCGAACTCCCGAGCGTGCAGGGCTCCCTCCACGTGGTAGCGCCACCGCTCGCGAACCCGAGCTGTCTCCAACACCAGCTGCTGGCTGAGCTCCCGCTTGGTGACCCCGTAGCCGCCGTACAAGCTGCCCGCAGGGTCGAGGTCGCCCGTGCTAGCGTCGGTGGAGTAGACCGTCGAGTCCACGGGCCGCTTCGCGTCGTAGTAGGCGAAGGGCACGAGAGCGGCGGCGACTCGCAGCTCACGAATCACCTCGGGCCATATCCTCCAGCGGCTGTCACCCGCCTTCTTGATGAACCGATACGTCGACTGGAATATGCACAGGAGTGGTCGGCGGAGAAGGGCCGCCCAGTTGAAGTGCCCGACCAGGCTGGCCAGCTCCTTTCCCGTGGCGTAGCGCTGGGGCGCCTGGCACAGCAACGCCTGGCGGATCTTCCACATCCGCGACCGTCCCAGCGATATCCTTCCAGACTCTCTATCGAAGATCAGACCTGTGAACTTCTGGTGATCGCTCGGCGGCTCCATCTCCTTGCACTGGAGGCCCGCCGCGTTGAACGCCCCGTACACCGTCTCCAGCTGCGAGACGACCGCGTCGTACTTGGAGCCGATCACGGCGACTCCGTCGACGTAGGCGGCGGCGACGGTCTCGCCCTCGAGGTCGGGAATCACCTTCCTCTCGTGGACGAGTCTGTGATCGCCGATGCCGACGGTCCTCAGCATACCCTCGACGGCGTGCTGGCAGAAGAACAGGCTCCAGTTCCAGCCCATGGGCAGCACCTTCAGACAAGGCGAACACCTGCGACCGACGATGCCGTCGAGAGTGCCGCTCGGCAGCACATTGGCCAGAGCACCGCGATCGATACTCGGGAGAATCATCAGCTCGCTCAGACCAGGCGGCGCAAGGAACCGATAGAAGGCTGCCTCGATGTCGCACTGACCGAGGAAGAGGCTGCTGTCGGCCCCGAGCCGCAGG